TATATATAAATATTTAGAAAGAAACTCTGTTGTACTTTTTTGTGCCATGCTCTAATTAATTAGTTCAAATCAGGTGTTTTTCATATAAGGCCAGTTACCGTTACACATATTGACATATTTTTTGCTAAATTGTTTCAATGTCCGTCCTACAATCTGTTAACAATAACTGTTTTTCCGCTCAACTCCAATTATTACAACGATTACAAAATGTTAAAATTTGAAAAACAAACAACAAAAAATCGTAGCGAAAATTATGCGAATTTAATAGACAAGAAAATGGAATATTTAAGTAACAATTTGCATATATACATAATGTCACGTCTAGATATCTAGAAATATTTTCTCAAATTTAATCGAAGCACACCTTAAAACAACCACATCACTGTAAATCGTAAGGAAAACAAATGAAACGACAAGTAGAAAACACGCCTCACATCGCAATTGTAAATAAATATATCGATGTGTAGATCGCAAATAGAACTTAAGACGAGCTTTTCGACCGGCTCTCAATGCTATAAATATTGTAAAAAAAATTAAACGTACGAAAGAAAAACTGCTTAGCGTTTAGTATTTAAGAACTTATTGTATGTAAAGCGTATCGCAGGCAAAGTATTACTAAAATATATAAATGTGGAAAAACGGAAAAAAAATTAAAATGAAAATATTCAATTGAAAAATATCTTCACATCACTCTTTTTTTTTTTTTTGTGGACAAGGAATGAGCGAAGGAAGTTAAGTGAGCGAGTGTAAGGCGTAAGCGATTCTAAGAAATGTCTAAAGACGATATAAGCACAGGGTGTTTCAGCTCCGAATGCCCGATTCCCCATATTGTACAGAGTCACACATTAAATAAAATATAGATGTTTGCACTATTGAATTGCCATGGCTATAGATGTGAATTCTCAATGGATTGTACATGCTTCGAATATGATATATATGCGTATGTGCATAATAAGAAATATATATATACATATATGGTATTAAGTACAGTAGGGTGCTTGAAGTATATACATATATTATATGTAAATAGCATGTAAACAGTTGAGCTCTTATTAAACAGCTGCACAATTCCCAAGATTATACTTCGAGTCGAGTCGAGTCAAAATAAAAGTCCTGTAAGATGTATACATGTGTAAGCGAACATACGTATATGTATTGATATATATATATATGTATATGTATTTACTGACAACATGTTTTAAAGACTGGTTTTTTGTACACTTTATCTTAGGCAGGTATACTGTTTACATTGTATTATTGTATCTAATTGTATTGAATTGCTTTCGATTTCGAGTATACCAAAAGTTCAATTCAGTTTAGTTACAATGTATAACCGTATAGCTTAACTCTAATATTATTTCGCTCAAAAACAAGCTGCATTTCTATAAAAAGAAAATTTAAACCTAAGAACAAATTCAACCTAACGACCAATTTTCATATTTTGTTTGTTATAGAGCATAAAAACTCTAGGCACTGTATTTAATTTAAGTATTTAAGATACGATCTTTAAATTATATTATATATATACATAGATATACATACATATGTATGTATTACATAGATGGCTTGTAAATTCTCATAACTTAACAGCAAAAACTGTAATGCTTCATCTGTAATATACGAAAGACCATATTATTTTCAAACTAAAATATAACTAATGCATTTTAACTATGAATCACAATTTAGTTGTTAGTTATACACAATGGATGTACTATAAAAAAAAAAAAATAAATAAAAAAAAAAAAACAGATAAAAAAAATCAATGGAAATAAAATCTAAATGTATGAATGAAGATTTGTAAATTGACAGCCAAACATAAAACAAAATCCTTAAAAAAACGAGGCGAGGCAATTAGACAGCCAATGTGAAGATGATTTAGAAATATAAAAGAAAAACAAAATACAACCGAAGAACTAAAAGAAAATATTTAAAAAATAAATAAAAAGTAAAAATCTGCACACACTTCTCGAGCAAGGAAACCTTTCCAAGACTAACTACCTTCACAAATCATATATCCAATGTGAAGATGATTTAGAAAAGCAGCAGCAGCGGAAAAAGGAAAATTTACAGAGTGCAGGCGAAGT